CCGGAGGCCGGCCGGCCGCAGCATGGCTCACGGGCCTGGCGCGCTGATGCTCAAGTGCGTGGTGGTCGGCGACGGGGCGGTGGGCAAGACGTGCCTGCTCATGAGCTATGCCAACGACGCCTTCCCGGAGGAGTACGTGCCCACCGTCTTCGACCACTACGCAGGTAAGACTGGGAACTGCTGACTAAGGGGCCGCTCCCCGGGCCGGGAACTTTAGAGCAACTTTGGCGGAGCCCCCTGGCTGCCTCCCCTGAGCGCACTCCCCAGCCCTCCCCCGCCGCGCCCTCCACTAGGCAGACGGCCCCACCCCCGAGGCTGTATGTCCGACCACCCATGGCTGCAGCTCCCACCCCACTTTCTCGCCCCCTCTCCCGCCCTTGCTCCCTACACTTCCCAGTCCCCTCCGCGCCCTCCTTGACCTTCCCACAGCTGCCTCCCCTATTGCCCCAAGCCCCAGGGAGAACCGTTTGAGGGTTCCCGGTGAAACGTGTCTTTGGGACTTGGGAGCAGTGGCTGGATAGCTGGGGGCCATATCACATCCCAACTCCTGCCACTTCACAGCGAGACTTGCGCAAAGGAAAAGGGGGTGACATCTCCCGGGGAATGCCCACATGCCACCAGCTGGGTTGGGAGAGGAGGGTTCTGGTGGGGAGGGAAATTGCCCCAGAGTCCAGATCATTGTGAGCTTCTCTCCCCACCCCCACTTCTGTCCTTGCAGTCAGCGTTACCGTGGGGGGCAAGCAGTACCTCCTGGGACTCTATGACACGGCCGGACAGGTGAGTGTCTTGGCCTCTGGCCGACATCTCCTCCTTTCCCCGGATTCTTTGTGGCTCTGAAGGGCCTTTGGAAACTGAGGTGCCTAGGTGGGAGGGTGTGTCCATCCGGATCAGGTCTTTTCTTAAGTCAGCACATTAGGAAAACAAACAAAAAACACGGAGACGGGCCCGTGTGAACCCCTGGACTGTGAAAGTTTTGCCTGTGTGGGTCCTTCTGTGTGGGTCCCAACTCCTGTTGCAAAGTGGCAGTGGCCAATGGTGAAGCGCCCTTATTTTTAGTTGCAGATGACCAGGTCTCCCCCTCACAGCCTCTGTCTGGTCCCTCATTGGTGAGTGGTCTGCCTGCCGGAGGAGCCTGATTGGTGGGAAATGGCATCATCTAACATGATGGGAAGGCATTTGGTCCTGGTTATGTTTATTACAACATCATTGCACTCTGGGACTCCAGTCCCTGAAAAGGTAATTTGTGGTGTCACCAGATACCACAGGGAAAAAGAAAAGAAACAACAACCATCCAGCCACTCCCTGGGGTGGGTGTGAGGGAGAAGAGTTAGGAGTTCAGTGTGAATCTTAGAGGAAAAGCTTTTTCCCCTCAGGAGGGCCAGGTGACTTTGTTTGGGTTTTCTTTGGAGAGATTACTGTGCAGAAGGAAAATGCACACTTCTCCAGCTGCAGCCTCTGGCCAGTGTTTGCAAATCAGAAGTGGCCAGAGGGTGCTCCTAAAGGAGTAAGGCCATTTCTCTCTCTCCCTTTCCCAGCTCCACCCTCCTCCCAGACCCTCTTTTGCTCTAAGGCTCAGATGATTGTGTGATGAAGTTTTGCAGAATCCAGTTCTATGATTTGACCTGAAGACTCAAGCAGAAGTTTTCTGGTGTCAGGCTGACTTGAATTGGTGAGGGTATATGAGCAGCTGAAAGCCTTGAGATCTTTCAGGGTACAGTTTCCTTATCTGTAAAATGAGGTTAAAAAAAAAAAGACCATCCCCCCCTGTAGATACTTTGCGCCATATGCCAGCTGCTGAGCCCAGCACGTACTTGGTACTCAGTAAAAGAAATGCTGTTCTTTGTAGCTTTCTATATTTGGCTTTCAGAATTGTGGTACTTAGGCTTCTGTGTTAGCTTCTGGAAAATGACATGGGGGAGTACCTTAATGTGGTCTTGGCTTCTAAACTGTTAAGATAGAGGAATATCTGAAGATGGAGAACTGCTGGCAGTTCAAGGTGCCAGAGGTTACCCCCTTTTACTGGCCTAACTCCACGTAACAGTTCTTGGCTTCCCAGGGCTCCTTTTAATTGCCTACCTTGTAATTGTTGCTGTTTCTACCTTTGTGAGAAGGTATGGAGGGCAAGAGGCAGAGCTCATTCAATCAAAGAAGACCAATTTTTAAGAAGTACAGTTAAGGGGCTGGGGCAGAGCGCTTGCCTAGCATGCATGAGGCACTGAGTTCAATCCCTGGCACCACATAAAAATAGACAAATAAAATAAAGGTGTTATGTCCATCTACAACTAAAAAAAATTTTAAAAAGAAGTACAATAAACAAAAGGTTGGCATGATTGGTTGAAAGAGAAATGTTTTAAAAAATTGTCTCTAATTTTAACTTCTTTCACTACCTCCTCTTCTCTTATCTCTTTTACCTGTCATTATGATCATATTTTGACCATGTGTCCTATTCAGCTGAACATGTGTATGTCAGAGCTGTTCTGTGCACTCTCAGAGCCAACTGATATTTGCAGAGTGCCTTCTACATGTCACTCTGAGGCAACCACTTGAAAATAATTACCTTATTTACTCCATGAGACCACCTTCCCTTCTGCAGATGGTGAAATGGGCTCAGAGAAGCTGAGTTGCTTGCCTAAGGTCACATAGCTACTGTGAGGTGCTGCAAGGATTAAGATGTGTGTCTGAATCCACACCCATTTGAGGTGGTTATGCACACAGGAAGTCATGAGAAGTGCTGAGATGTGCCCCCCCTCCCCACCCTTGGTTGGTCAGATTGTGTGCATAGAAACGATACCTGGAGTCTTTACAGCCATTCTCAGAATGGGGGCTGTATGCCATCTTTACAGACCAGAGAACTTAAATCCAAACGAATACCCCAAAATGAAGCCCATTCAGAGAACCAGGGATTCCCATATGTCATTCTAATTGCTATTTCCAGCAGAGGATTATAATATGTACACTAAGATCAACATAAGGCTTGTATAGTACTGTTTTTACCCAGTTGTGGGACACCATTCTGTTGGCTCAAATATATGTTAGGCCCCTTCGTGTTTCTCCTAGTGGCTAAGACTTTGTTTTTGGATCAAAGTTAGTGATACTTGATCTCTCTAACTAATAAGCAAATGATAAGACCAAGTGATAAGTGCCTTCTGTGCACCTAATATTATGCTAAGCATCTGGGGAATGCAAAAGGGTAAATTTAAGATAGGGATCTGATGTCAGCATAGGTGGAAGTATCTGAATCACATGCCTGTTCATATGTCTTATGTAGGAGATTTCTGTATTATACTTGATCATAAAGACCCCATGCCTCTATGAATCACTATCAGAAGAATCTTATATAATAATTATAAATAAATACATATACAAACTTAGGCGCGAGCGCGTGCGCTCGCGTGCGCACGCACACACACACACACACACACACACACACACACACACACACACATATATAGAAAAATTTAAGCCCAGTAGGCAGCAGAGGAAAGCCCATGGGATTTGAAACTACCAGTCATGTGATTCTAGCTGTTATTTACCTTCTTTGTAAGAGTAAACACATGGATAGTGAGACTCTAAGCTTCAGAGCTGTAAGCTATCTTAAATTCTTTAATGTATATAAAAGTAGTTGACACTGTTTTTCATGCACAATAGATATAAAAAAGATAGTACAAGAAATTATTGTGCTCTACTATGGGCAATTTAATGGGGGAAGGGGCCACAGGTTGAAGAGGACAGTGCATTATGCCTGGAGTGGATAGAAAGTCCACTAGAAGGCCAGGCCTAGAATCTTTTCAGTGGAGGTATGGAGCCTCACCCTGTTTATAGAAGAGAAATGTCCAAGAGTTCTGTGTGGAATTTGAGAAGCAAGTGGCATATGTAGGCTTTAGTTGGCTTATTTTTTCAGGGAGGTGAGATGGGATGAGGAGGAAGCTCAGAGCACTGGAAAGCAGTTGCTTTCTCTCCAAAATGTTGCTTATGCACATGGGCACTTGCTGGACCTGTTTAAATAACCCAGCGGCACCTCCCCCAGGTTGGCCCCTCTTGTCTTCTTGCTTCCTCTTGGCCTTCTCAGTGACTCCAGTCAAGTTCAAAGCTACAACCCAATTTACATATTTGGAATCTACCAATCAAGGAATGATCGAAGTAAGGTGAACTTTTTTCTTCTAGAGAAAACTGCTTTTCATTTGACCTCTGCTGCCTTGGGGGGGGGGGTGATCAGGGGAGAGAGAGAGAGAGAAAAAAAAATAGAGAAAGATTGAGAAACTGAGAAATATAGGCAGACAGACAAAGAGAGAGTATGAAAGTGTGTTGGATATCAGTGCCCATCATTTGCTCTGCCTAGGGACATTCCTCATCGTCCCAACTTACTCACTAGCATCACTGCCAAAGGGAAGTCCTCCCTGCTCTTGGCTGAGCCCATGGGTGGTCCAAAGGCAGTGTGACATTTGGACTGCCAAGCGTTTTGGAGTGAAAGTTAAGGGAAGCCCCTCCCTCCTCACTGGGAGCCTCGAAGGGAAGTCTGGCTTTGGGCCAAGGTCTCCGTGGAGTTTCTCCTTTTTTGCCCAGTGTTTGGAACTTTGGCAGGGGCTCTGCTCTATTCCCACTGTCTTCTCAGGGACTGAGAGGTGGGATTTTCCCTTCTGCCTCTGCCCTACTTGGAACAAGGGGGAAATGGGAAGAATTCCTTCTATCCAGACAAGCCAGTGGGGAGCTGCTTGGCAAGCTGCTCTCCAGCTTGGGCTCCAGGCTGATCTCTTAATCCTTGGCAGGAAGGTAGAACTTGATACCCTGAAGAGAGAAGGACTGAGGTCCAATTTATCCCAGGTCCCAGAATACCCTTACTTAGGAGGATGTGTGTTGGGCTGAGTGTGGGATCCCTAGAATTCCAGCTGTAGCCACTTGTCTCGATTTGTGGAATTCCATTTGTAAGCCTGTGGACAAGTTTTTTCTACGTCTCTTAATTTAAACACACAGATTCAGGGATGCATACACGAGAGCTATAAATATCCTTTACTCCAGTGTCCCCTGGGATAGGTTTTTCAATGAAAGGGGAGATTTGTTTCACACATGACATAGCCCAGCAGCTGTGGCTGCCCTGCCAGCCCTTTGGGTGCCCAGGGAGGCACTTTCCCTAGAGAAAGGAATCTCCACTGAGGGACCCTCGACAGGCCCCTCCTGCATCTCCTGGGGCAGTACCCAAGGGCCCAGCATGATGAGAAAAAGGCAGGAGGAAGAATGAGGGTATTGCCACTTATCAGGTTCCTTTTCCCTTCAAGTCAAACATGCTCACAATATCCTTCAGGTAGACTTTTTCCTGTGGAGGAAACAGTAAATGAGTGGGCTTATAAAACACCAGTCAGAGATGTGATTCTGGAAAAGGTATTCCTTTTTAGATAAGCCCTGCATGGAACACAGGTAGGACTTAGGAAATGCCTACTTGTGTCATCAGGCCCCAGGTGCCGAAAACCCCACATTGTATTCCTGAGGGACCCAGAGAACAGAGTCTGGGAGGAGCCACAGACATTAGCCACAACAGGTGAGATGCTGGTACTAAGCATCCTGGTTTCCCTTAGTAACCTACTGTAGATTTCTCATCGTGTATTTTGCTAACCTTTTTAGAAGCTATTAATATCTCCAGGCTGCACCACACTGGAATGCTAGTTTCCTCATTTCCTCGTTTCCTTGTCTGAATTGGGAAGGTGGATGGCCTTTTTCAATTCCAAAGCCTTTGCTGATCAGAATGCTCTGTGTTCCCTCCTTGGGACTCTGATGTCAGTTTG